GACATATGGGTTTGATTCATTGAATAGTGTCATAACGGGCTGCCTAACGTATATGCTGTTGTTTTGAAAGCACCGATTCTAATGATTCGATAGTATCACTTTCTTTGAAACAAAAGCATATTTCTCAAATTGACAGCATACTATGTTAATTCGAAGGTGAATCCTTTTGAATCAATAAACAAAAATTTTTAATTTAACAGTATATGCTTTTGAGTCAATGACTATAACTTTTAAATTTAAAAGCATCATTTTTATGATTCAAAAATTTGTACTCTTAATTTTTTTAGTTGTTGCTATCGATTGAATAACACCATACTGTTAATTCAATTCTTTTATGTGGTTAAATATATACCAACGATAAATTGAAAAAAGGGAATTTTTGTTCACATGTTTTTTATATACTATAATTAATTCTCACACCTTTAACACAACACTTTTTATACACATCTTTTTTTCAATTTTTCACACTAACATATACATCTTTATTATTATTTTCATTTTTTCCAACGGCTAAACACACACACACACACATACACATTCAAACACACTTATCTTTTTTAGTCAGAAAAATACGGCTATTCCCAAGCGGTCACCCATCCATTTAGTAACCGCGACCAACGACGCTTAACTTCCGTGATAGACGAGAACCGCCGCGCTGCAATGTAATACATCCGCTTCTCAACGTTGGGCACTTACTTTGTGGTTAAATACCGTGCTCGAGATTTTTCGCGTATATAAGGGAATTTATATAGGGAATTTATATTTAACTAGTCATTAATTAATTAAAAGAATTTAAATAATACTTTTATATTGGAATCTCAAAAACGACAGGTTTAATAAACATATAAATATATGTGGGTAAGTATTTCAATAAATTTAGTACCTGTCAATGTCTCAAAACATAGTGTTCTTATTTTTATAGCATATGCTATGGGCAGTCCGCAATAGCACCACTCATTGAAACGAAAGCATATGCTTTCGTTTTCAGAGCGCGCTTCTTTAGAGCAAACAATTTTTCATTTGATTTAAATTTACATGCATTTTCTTCAAATTTATCTATTAGATGCTTCAAATGAATAATGTCAAAGAAGCAATAAATTATTCTGTTGCTATGTATAGATGAACTATAGAAACAATTTGCACAATATCATTAATTCTACAGTACCGTACTTTTAATTTAAACAGTTTCATTTTTTCATTTTAAGCAATATACTTTTCGATTAATAAATGTGTCATTGAATCAATGACGGGGAATTCAATAGCATGGAGATATTTGATTCAACAGCACTTTTTTTTCAGTGTAGTAATAAAATCTGTATATAATTTTGAAACATTTAATATGCATCAAGTGTTTTGAACGTTCCACGTGCCACGAGTGTTCATTTAATTTCGAATTAATTAGAATTCATAGAAAATTATTTAATATTGAAGAAGAAAGAAAAAAATGTTTCTAAATAAATAAATGAATAAAAAGAAAAAAAGAAGAAATAGAAGAAAAAAAGATGTAAAAAAGAATAAAAAGCGAAAAAAGAAGAGAAAGATAGAAAAAAGAAAAAAAAGAAAAAAAAGAATAAAAAGTGAAAAAAGAAAAAGAGAAAGAAAAGGAAAATGAAGAGGAAAAACTTTCTTTTAGAAGACCTTGTTATAATTTCTTTTTCAATTTCTGGTCCAACGTACTTTGTCCCTCTACCCTTAAAGTCATGGCGCTCGTTAGTCTTTGTACCAACAGAAAGTGAAAATCACCCCTGTCCTTTATCAGACCCCAGGTGTATTTTCAAGAGCCAAACAAGGTTTCACTATTTTCGTAAGGCGAAATCGTCCCAATGCCAAAGAGTCAAGTCAAAGTCAGTCAAGTGGCTTCGAGACAAAGTGGTAAAAGGATAAAAGAAGGACAATTTTCGAATTATAAATCTCTAAAAAAAAATTTGATTATTTAAAAATAAAACCTTTCATTAAAAAAAATAAAAAAATTTAAATCTCATATATTATGTAATTCACTCTAAGCTCAAAAAGAAATGATAAATTTATATAATACACGTTATATACTCCTATAAGGATCAGATAAAATCCACACAAGAAAAAAAAATGAAGTCTCTGTTGCAGGTGGTTTTTTTCATAAAAGAAAAATCATTTATGTTTAAAAGGGCATGTATGAAAAGTTTTCAACGTCATGCATTGGCTCTTCAGAATTTCAAATTGAGTAATTTTTTAAAATATACTCTCTCTCTCTCTCTCTCTTTTTCTCAATAGAAAATCTGTAGAAATCCTTCTGTTTAATAGGAAACTTGAATAATTAAATTTTAGTCAAATGTTATTAGAAATGGAGAAAAGAAATATTAACGAGAAGTACTGAAGAAATGGAAAAGTATTCTTTTCTTGTTTGAGATTTGTCGAAAAATCCAAATTTTTCTAAGAATATCAAAATTAAGACAACAAAATGTATCAAAATAGTTGAGAAGCAACTAAAAAGAAAATAAAAAAAAATTTGATTTTTAAAACAGTTCTCTAGTTTCTTCACTGTTGTTTTTAGAAAAACAGTTCTCTAATTTCTTCACTGTTGCTCGCAGAAAAACAGTGAAGAAACGAGAGAGAACTGCTTTAAAAATCTCGTTTTTTGACCGTTTGAGAAATCAAAGTTTTTTTACTTGATTTCAATAAAGATTGTTCAACAATTAATATTTCTACTAAAAATTTCCACGTGAGTACAGAAAAATAGTAGAAGATTTTTATATGCTTTTAACCTTCTTTTCGCAAAAAGAAGTAGAAATGAAAATAATTTGCATGATTTCTATTTTTCAATTATACAATTTACATTACAAAGTTTTAATTTTCTTTTAAGGGGAACGTTCACCGTTATTTTTAACTATATCAAGAAAATAATTTAAATATTCCACAAATTATTAATTTTCAGATAATTTTTTGTGGGAATTCAATAGTCATAAAATAAAAACGATCAGAAAATATTTTGATTCTTTTTGAATGTTTATTTTTCTTTAAAATTGGTAAATTTTTGAAATCCATGTATTAATTTTTTAGAAAATATTTTTTAAATCAAAAAAAATTTATTTTTATAATTTTTGAAGTATTTAAAAAAAAAACTTTTTAGGCTGAAAATATACTGAAAAATACTATTATTATTTAATTTTTTTATATAAAAATTCATTTGCTTATTTTTCAAACTACTTTTAGATAATAATTTTAATAGAAATAAAAAATACAAAAAAAAAATTAGAACAAAATTATGATCTGAAATTAGTTATAAAAATTAACAAATTTATTTTCAAAAAAAAAAAACATTGAAAATTTTTATGTGGATTCAAAAACATAAAAAAATTTAAAATTTTCAAAAGTCATATTCTTTCAAAATTCAATCATTTTTTTCTTGAAATTTATAAATAAAATTATTTAAAACTTTAATCATTTTATTTTATTCAATTCTAATCAATTTTTATTAGAAATTTCTATGAGAATTCAATTATTTAAATACAAAAATAAATTTATTGAATAATTGCGAATTATTTCTTAAATTTGAATTCTTATAAAGAACTTTATCAACATTTTTTAAAATAATTGAATTTCTACGAAGAATTGCATTAAAAATTTTGATAATAATTAAATTCATTCAAGAAATGTAATTTAAAAAAAAACAATTCAATTGTTATAAATTATTTCATTAACATTTTTTAAAATAATTGAATTTCTACGGAAAAATTTATTACTTTTAAAAATAATTGAATTTTTGTGATAAATATTATTATTTATGAAAATAATTGAATTTTTTAATGAATTTTATTAAAATGCCTCAAAATAATTGAATTTTTGGAAATAATATTGTTATATATCGACATAATTGAATTCTTGGAAAAAATTTTATTGAAATCTAAAAGAATAATTGAATTATTTTTAAAAAAATTTAATTAAAATTGTATTTAAAATAATTGATTCGTTTCGAGCAATTTTATAAAAATATTTGAAAATAATTGAATTCCTGTGAAAAATTGTACCTAATATTTTTGTAAATAATTGATTTTTTCTAGGAATCGAAATTAAATTTTTAAGAATAATTACATTCTTTGATCAATTCCTATAAAATTGTATTAAAAATAATTGAAAACCTGCGATGAATTTTATTATTTATGAAAAATAATTGAATTCCTGAAAAGAATTTTTTTTATTTATGAAAAATAATTGAATTCTTGCAACGATTCTTATTAAAATTTCAAAAAATAATTTAATTCTTGAGAAGAATTTTATTATTTATAAAAATAATGGAATTCTTGCGAAGATTATTATAAAAATCTATTTAAATAATTGATTTTTTTTAAAAATATTCAAAAAAATTCTGTTTTAATTAATTGAATTCCATGTGAAAATTTTTTTATTTATGAAAATAATTTAAAATGTTTGCGAAGAACTTCATAAAAATTTTTTTTCTAAATTATTCATTTCTTTTTGGAATTTTTTTTATTCAAATACTAGATAATAAAAATCATTGAATTACGAAAAATTTGTGAAAATAATTGAATCGTTTTAGAGAATTTAATTAAAATGTTTTGAATTTTTTCCAATAACTTTATTAAAATCTTTGAGAATAATTTTTTTATTTCAACTGTTAATATATTTTAAAGTGGTATAAATTCTCAAACGTGCACTAAGAAAAGATTATACTTAAATGAAATACAAAAATAATTTTACATTATTTTGTTTAAATTTAAATAAAGGAAGTGGATTTATCATTTGGTAATTAAATATTAAAGGATAAAAGATTGTTAACTTCTTCCACTTTAAACATTATTTTGTTTAATTGAAATTAGTTTATTTTTTATTTACACAGTTTTTCTGCAGATATCAAATTGAGCCAAAAAACGAATCAAAAGTTTTGCCTCGCAACACTTTTGATTCGTTTCTTGTCTCAATTTGATATTTGCAGAAAAACTGTGTATTTATTTCAATAAAATTTGTTTCAATCAAATAAATCGTTTTCTTAGTGTGGAAAAAAGTATGTTTTAGTGTAACAATTAAAAAAAAAAGTATTCAAATAGTAGGAAATTGTAAAAATAGTGTAGTAAATAGTAGGTGTTAGTGCGAGGCCTGGAATTATTAAATAATAAATAGGTAAAATAGCTTCCGAATGCTAGTGCGGTCATAAAAGTGTCGGCTCGGTGGTACTGGAAAGTCGCTCTCAATTGAAGGACACGACCACTTGCAGAGTGGAATTACTCTCTGCGGTAAAGTATATTCTTGTGCGTGAAGTGATAATAGAGATCAATTGGCAAGTTGTTTCTTCTTTTTTTTTTTCCTTTTTTTTTCTTATATTCTTCAATTGTTTCAGGCGTCTGCGCCTGATAGGGTACGAGCGGGTGTGTGCAAGAGAGATAGAGTCACAGAATCGGGAGGAGTTAACCAGGGCGGCAAAGGTAGAGTCTGCAGTAGTCGCCTCCGAGCCGTTGAGCCGTCGCGATGCGGGCGACTAGTACGACATCTTGAAAGCTCGTGATACCGACCTCTCTCTGTCATTCCTAGTATCTCATTACCATATCACATTCCCCCTACCCATCCCTGCTCTTCAACCTCAATAAACAAACGCTCCCACATGTTTCATTTTTCTTCACCGTCAATTCAATTTTTTCACTTCAAAAAAATTCACATCACATCACAATCACCACGTGTCCAAAAGGAAAATCATTGACCAAAAACTTGTGTGATTTTCCCCCAAAATTTCTTTTTTCCATTTGATAAAAATTCTTCCATTATCCATTTTGAGGTTAGGAATTTTAGCGCCAAATTAACGCGACGAATGATAACTGCAGATGGCGCGCAGGAAAATCTGGATAAAATTGTACCGATCACGACGGAAACAGAAAGGTACAGATTCTTAGAAAAAAAAAATAATTGAGAGAATTAAAAAAAAAGTGACGAGGGGGGATTAAAGATAAAGAAAAATATGAGCGAGCGATAAAAGGATGGGTATGAAAAAAGAGAGATTTTTATAAACGAAAGGGGAGAATGAGAGAAATCAGGAAAATATGTCAAAAGGGATTAATGGCCGATGCTGAAGATAATTCCATCTCAGATTTGACGTCTGTTTGTTTATCAACTTTTATCCTTTATTCAAATATTTACCTATTACGACATAAATCCTCCCACAGGAAATAAATAAAATAAATAAATTTTATTCTAAATTTCTCGGGGGGAATATTTGAAAATCAAAAAAGTGCCAAACTGAGGGCGTGCTATTCAGCGCCGCCATATTGAAATCGTAAATCGTATTTTGAATCAATTTAAGCAAGAAAAAAATAAATTAATCGAAATTTCTAAAATTCAAACAAGAAATTTTTAATTAATTCCGTAGAAAGTGATCGAATTTTGTAGAAAAATCGAGAAAAATAGAACAGAAGTACAAACAGATTAGAGAAACTAAAAAAAAAAATCAAACCGAATTTTAAAAATATGAAAAAACACAAAAATAATGTAAAAATGTAAAAAAAATCACGAAAAAAAGAAATAAAACGTATCTGAAACAAAAGAGTAAAAATTAATAATAATAAAAAACAAACTGCAAACTGACAGGAAAAATGTATGATAAATAAAACCCAGAGGAGAATATCATCATTAGTGGAAAATGAGAAACAATTTTTCGAAAACAATGGAAAATAAATGATTGAAAGAACGATATTGAATCGAAAAGAAAAAAAAATTCACTTTTATTCACAATTAATTGAACATTTTCAAAAAAAAGAAACATTCAGCAATTACGAATAAAAGAAATTCAGATGATAAATATTTGACATGTGAATTAAAATTTGCGAATTGATAATTAGAATAATTACAGTTTACTCCCAAAGTTTTGCTTGTAAAGGTAAACCTGAGTCAAATGTCGGGGCACCTACAATCAAAATTAATTAACAACTTCGGAAACCAATGAATATACTCGGCTCAGTGAGTCGTGACACAGATACCTCGACATCCAAATAATATCGTGTTTGTGACAACATCCCTATTTCGCCAAAAGTCAAACTCAACACTCACCACTCTGTAATCGAGTGGAAAACATTGGTGGTAATTAAATTTCACATCACTCACATCTTATTTTTCCAGTATAATTTTACAAAAAAAGAGAGAAGAAAATTATTTCTCAAAATTTCAAATTTTAATAATTATTTCAAATTACATGGAAAATTTAAAAATGAAAAAAAAAAGGTGAAACGAGAAATTTTGATTTAAATTGAAAAATTTTTGCTGTCGAGAAATAAACATACAGTAAACAAAGAGGTAAAATTGTTTGTTTAATCAATTTTCATGAGAAATGAAATATTACTATAGAATTTTATGTTTTAAAAGGGTAAAATTGAAAATTAATTATTAAATATTTAATAATTTTTGATATTTAGTATTTAGTGTTTAATATTTAATATTTATTCCTGAATATTTAATATTTATTCCTGAATATTTAATATTTATTACTGAATATTTAATATTTATTACTGAATATTAAGTAACTAAATTATAAATACTAAATTAAATGTCAAATTATTAATTAAAAAAAAAAGTATTAACTAAAATTAAATTCGGTAATCACACAGTTTTCTTGAAAGTATCAATACTAAAGTGTATCAATTTGATACCAAAATTTGGATCAAATAAAAATTTGATCTAAATTTTTGTATCAAATTGATACACTTTAGTATCAAAATGATACTTTGATACTTTGATACTTTTTGATACTTATTACTACAATATTAAATATAAAATTAATAAAATTAACTATTAACTACAATAATTTGAATGTTCTTTCATTCTTTAATTCATTCACTTTTTCTGTCCCTCACACTCTGAAGTTGTCTTTTGTTTATACTTTTGTTGTTTGTTGATTTTAGATAGATTTTTGTATATTATATTATTAACAATAATAATCTTCGTATTTCATTCTTTCATTCTGTCTGTCGACACTTTGAAGTTAGTTTTTGTGTATGATTTTGTTTTTTTGTTTTTTCTTTTTCTTAAAAAAATATTGTTTGACAGATCGAAAAAACGCAGGTATTTTTTTATGATTTATAATAGAAAAATATTTGAATTTAAAAAATATAAAAAAAATTATGATTAACAAATAAATTTTGTTTATTATATGCTTTTTTCTATAACAAATTTCGTTTGACTGATCTAAATTATGCAAATTTTTCTCCTTTTTATTTATAAAAAATAGAAAATTGTTAATTGTTAAAAAAATTAAAATTAATAAATAAGAAATATTTTATGCATAATTTTTATTTCTCAATAACAATATTGTTCAGAAATTCATTCTTTTCTTTTGAAAAAAAAACATTACAAATTTTATTCTATTTTCCAATTACAAATTTTAATTAAAAATAAAATTGAAATTTTTTTAATTTTTAGAAAATAAAGGAAAAAAGTTTACTCAAAAAAATGTTCTGTTACGAATTTCTTTAATTGTAAAAATTATTCGAAAAAATCAATAACTTTTTTTTAAATAAATATTTAAATATTATTTTTCCGTAGAAATTAAATATTTTCAAAACATTCAAATTCAAATCTTTTTAAATTCAATAACTTATAAGAATGTTTTATAATAATTAATAATTAAAGATGACCGAGTGATAAAATCATTGTTTTATATTATAAGAATATTATTACAGTAACTTTTTTCAAAATTATTTTCACCATTTCAAATCAATTATTATTTTCTACAATTTTCAATCATTTTTTATGAAAATAATTGAAAAAATTTTATTATATATAAAGTAATTGAATTATCGCGAAGGAATTTATAAAAAAATTTGTAAATAATTGAATTCCTGAGAAATTTTTATTATTTATGAAAATAATTAAAAATGTTTGCGTACTGTTTTTTTGGGAATTTGAAATTGATTTGAAAATAATTGAACTTTGGGGAAGAATTTTGTTATTTATAAAGATTATTTGCATTTTGACGAGAATTTTTTTTTAATTTGAAAGATAATTGAATTTTATGAGAAGAATTTTATCACTCTTGAAAATAATTAAATTTCTGCAATTATTTATAATTTTTCCAAAACTGGATTTTTTTAGTGTTTTCGACAAAAATTTGAATTACAAATTTTTAAATTCTATTATTTTTAAAATTGATAATTTTGTCCTAAAAAGTTAGCCGCGCGCTTCATTTTAATTCAATTATTATTTTCTAAAATTTTAAATTATTTTTTATGAAAATAATTGAATTTCTTAAAAAAATCAAATATTTATAAAAATAATTGAATTTCTGTGAAATTTTTATTATTTATGAAAATAATTAGATGTTTACATACGATTTTATTAAAATTTAAGAAAATAATTGAATTCTTTTTGGGAAATTTTATTAAAATAGTAGATATTGAAAATAATTAAAATTAGAAAATTTTTTGAAAATAATTGAAAGTAGGACAAGAATTTTGTTGACACATGTGAAAATAATTGGACTTTGGAGAAGAATTTTGTTATTTATAAAAATAATTGGGATTATTACGAAATTTTTTTTTCAAATTTTGAACATAGTTGAATTTTATAAGAAGAATTTTATTTTATTTTTTAAATAATTGAATTTCTACAATTATTTGTAATTTCTCCAAAATTGAATTTTTTTTTACCGTTTTTGACAAAAATTTAAATTAGAAATTTTTTAAATTCTATTATTTTTAAAATTGCTATTTTTATTCAAAAAAAGTCAGTAAGAAGTAAGTCGCGCGCTTTAGCGCACGAATTGTTGCTAGTATCAAATTAAATATTAAATAACGGTTCAAAAATACGAATATAATAAAATATTAAAAGACTTTTAAATATTTAAATATTTTTTATATACAGAAATTGAAATACATTTAAATATAGAAATATTAATTTTTTTTCATGGATGACCCAATCTAAAAAAAAATAATCAACAGTAAGAGATATATACATATATTTCAAGTTATATATTGATAGAGTGAATTGAAAATATATTCCTTTTTTTTCTATTTCTAAAAACTACTGTTTAATTTACAAATTATTGCTGGAGGACGAGATTGGAAATATCTAACAATCTGCCGTCATATTTTCGATAATCCCTCTTTCTTTTAACTCTCGCACAAAAGATATTAATTCCATATCGCAAATTGAATCGACCTTTCCCATCAGAATTTTTTTTTAACCCTGATTATTATTTCATTCCCTTTTTTTACAGCATTTTCTTATGTCCATTCTAGTAATTATTATTTTCACTTTAGCTAATATAAAACAGAAAAAAAATTATATTTCGAGACAAGGACATTTTTTTATTTCAAACACTAGGATTTTTATACAGAAAGAAAAATTTATTTGATTCTAATAAATATACTTGTCGATTATTAAATAAATATTTACTTGAATCAAACAATTTTTATCTCGATTTTTATTTAATTGATTTAATTGATAATAGTCAATTAATTGGCTATTGGAATCAAATAAACTTTTTCCACTGTACAATTATAGGAAATGTTTATTTGATCTCTATTGAAACTAAAACAATATAATATCGATAATAACAAAGTAAATAAATAATAATAATTAATAAATAATAAGATTTCACAAAATTAATTTTACAAAATTCAGAAGTAAATGAGAAGAAGAAGGCAAAATTAGAATATAAAAGGATTTTTAAATTCTTGTTTAATCTTTGGGATAAATTAACTTTTGCATCAATTTTTAATTTATGGTTTTATGCTGTATATATATCATGTATGTATTGTATTAAAGGGAATTGTCTTCCGGGAATTTTTTACAGTTTTCTTTTTTAAGAAAAATAGGTCAACTGGGGTACACGTGTTTTGCAAGATAAGTAGACAATTACGAATGGAGTATGTGATGAATTCTGCATAACA